ATAACAGAAAGTGTTAGGAATTCGGAAAGAAACCTAATAGAATTTATAGACAGTAAAATAAATAAATTCACGACCGAGTTAAATAAAAAGACAGAGGCGGAAGAAAAGGACAGCCAAGAACACCCATTGGAAGAAAATCAAACAAGTGACATTGAAAATGTTCAAGGTCAAGAGAATGAATGTCTTGAATCTGAACAGGAACCTAATGAAGTTATTGAAGTGGATGAACCTATATCAGCCGTACCCTCCTTAGGCGAGAATAGAAAAATTGAAGATGAAGGAACTACCTCCGAGGAACAAGAAAGCGAAACCTCTACATTAGATAATGAAAGTCTTGAATCTGAAAATCTCAGAGAAGATATAAAAGAAATCAGTGAAAAAGAGGAAGGAATTATAGAAGCCCAGGAGGAAACCTTGAAAGGTTTTGTATTAGGTTCCCTAAAGATCAGAGAATTCTTTTTCCAGGTCGATAAGGAGACCCATGAGATCCTAGAAATTAAAGAAGAGTATATACGCCCCACAGCTTCAGTCGAGTAGTGTTAATAAAAACCTTTAAGAACCACCGACAAAGACCGACAACTGAGTGTTTAAACAGGATCCCGAAAGACCTTTTCACACCTTCCACCAGAAATACCTAAGGCTGTACCTGCTGCTTTACCTTGGCCTGGGGGAGAGGGCGTGGTCATCCCTTAGGCTGAGAATATTCAGCCAATCAGGAAAAAGACTACCAAAAGAGAGGGGAATGAAAAAAGGTGGGAAATAGAGAATTGGGACTGAACACTTCTTTTTGGAACTCAGAGGAGGGAACACTTCCTCTTGGGACTCGGCGGAGGAGAGCTGGGACACAGGCTGAGACTGGATCAGGAGAAGCGGAGAGAGCAAGACAGGGACTTCTTCTGGGGACTCAGCTGAGGAGACTTCAAGCGGGGGAGTCGAGGGAGGAAGACGAAGACAGCCGGAGAGAGCAGATGGACGGACTAGACCCTGAAGGAGAGCAGAGACAGGGAATCCAGAGATGACGGCTAGAAACACCTAGAAACACTATGAAGGACCAGCTAAGTGGTAACAAGCATTTAGTTATACTAATGTAAATTTGTGTTGGCAACCATACATCATTAATTAATATAATCAATATAACACGTAACTTTAATCAAACATCAAGCATTCTCCTCCAGTATGATTCTTAACTATTCATTATGTATATAGGTTTAGTTATTATTTTGTATATAGATGTTTTTGGTTTTATTTAAGCTTGTAAATATAATAGTAAACCAACGTAGTACTTTTACATTCTACCTTGCATGCCACCAATTAGTAATAGAAACAAATAGTAAATTTATAAACATGATACCTTTAGAAAGGAAATCCAATAAAGAGTATATGGTTCAATCTATGATACTACAGTAGGGGGTCTGTGGTATCTAACATTTAAATACATCATTAATATATTTTAAGTTGATCGGTTCCCTTCTGGGACCGATATAAATACATATAAATACAAATAAATGCGATTCCTGGAACCCCCTACTCGCCGTAGAAACGCGAGGCCAGGAACATAGCAATACATATACACATATAAGAACAATCACATATATACTTACGTATATACGTAAAAATACAAAAGTAAACACGTATACATGAAAAAAATATAAGCCTACATAAATAAATATATATGTACAGGAATGTATAACAAAGTCATTCACATATGCATACACGCATCTATGAATATTCAAATAATAGAAATAAACGCATGCTATGTAGATAAATAGGTTAGTAAACATAGAGTGTTTCTTTATTAAAGAAAAATGAGATCTATTTTTGTAGTAATAGAATAAGAATAACGTAGGATGTTTGTTTATGTTTGCGGCAGTGAGGGTTCTGTAGGTGTTTACTGTTACGTCTGGTAGTAATACGTAAATACTTCGAGCGTTGTAAATAGCACTGCTTTTATTTTTATTGCTGTAGTAGTGATATATATGTTTATCGCAATGAAAATACTTATATTTCCAATATAAAATATATGTTAGGGCACGGATAGACATTATACAGGTTTGTTTTGAATGAAAAAAAAATAAATAAAAATAGATATAAAAAATAAAATAAAAATTTGTAATCGTATACTGTTAGTGTTTCGTAAGTTATTAGGTTTTTTTTTTTATTACGATTGCCCTGTTTTTAGTTATGTACGATGGTAAACTCTCCTTCCGGATCGATATCTGAGTTTCGGTCAGAACCTACAATCGCAAATGCGGCTTCTGATATTTTTGAAGAACACGCGTCTTGAGAAAAACGACTCCTAGAATTTGATCTGGACTTGCGAGGAGGTTTTGGGGCCGCTAAGGAGGCGACTGGCGGCGGAAGAAGGGGGGTGGTTGGTGGCGGCGGCAGGGAGACGCCCGGAGGTGGTGATGGGAAGGGGCCGGAGGTGGGATCACATGAATGTTAGGGAGGGGGATTATTGGTGGGGATAGGGAGGGGGTAGGATTTGTTGTTGTTTGAGTATTTCTAGTATTAGCTATGTAAGTGGTATTAAATATGTTTTCTCAAAGTTAAACAATGAATTTGTTTGAATGGCGATGTCTTTCTTTTCGATAGTGTTAGGATTTTGTTTTGTAATTTCAGCAAAAGATCTAGTATAATGGGTTGGATTCTGTTCTTTATACATTTTTTTTGCTTCGTTTAAAGATATTTTATTTATGGTTTGGATAGTTTTTATTTCTTTTTGCATAATAAAAATTGGACATCGACGATCTAATGAGTTGTGATTTTGGGCACAATTACTACAGCGGGTTGGGCGCGTACATCTCACGTTATCTTAATGTTTTGCTTCCTCACATTGAATGCATTGACTTTTTTGTTTGCAGACGTTCGAAGGGTGTTTAAAAGATAAGCAGTTAAAACAGCGAAGCGGGTTAGGAATATATTCCTGTACTTTGACCGTATGGAATCCTATGTTTATTGTTCCCGGAATTCTCGGTGTAGGAAAGGTCACGATATAAGAATTTGTCAATATCTCATTTCTTTTTTTTTTTTTTTTTTTGCGTAATATATCTTTCATCACTGAAGACAATTCATTTTTAATTTCGTCTATCTTTAGAAATTGGAGATCGTAACATCGAATCACTTCTTTACTGTAATTTAAGGTATTGTGGGGGGAAACCTGAATAGGAAATTGGCCACCTAAATTTTTACATTTTAATAGTTCTTCTGATTGTTTTCTGTTTTTTGTTTCAATAAGTAATGTACTATTTCTTAGCTTTTTCACATTTTTTAAGTATCCTACTAAACCTGAAAGAAACTTATTTACTAAGAACGGGGATACTTCTTCCAAATTTTGATCATCTGATCTTTCTATTATTAAGAACGATGGGCTAATTGGGATCGCACCATCCGTATTTTCGGCTTCGAATTTAAGACGACCTCGAGGTCGTTTTCGTTTAACCTTTCGGCTATTTAAATCTATGGGCTTCGTCGTAAACCAACGACTTCCTGTCCTACAGTTTCCTTTAGCAATACTCCACTTATCCCTGTTGAGCAAATCCGATACCTAGGACTCCACCTGGACAAACGACTAACTTGGAATCCTCATACTAGACTGAAACGACAAGAAACCGCTCGACGTTTCCGATTACTTCAGCACTTACTAGACAAACGATCTAAACTTCCCATTAATTACAAAAGACTTGACTATAATAAGACCTATTTGGACTTACGGAGTTGAGCTATGGGGCTCCACTAAACCATCGAATTCCTCTCGCATCCAATCTTTACAATACAAAATCCTTCGTAAAATCCTCAATGCACCTTACTTTGTCACTAATAAAACTATCCATGAAGATCTTAATGTTCCTTATGTTTCAGATCTGGCCCAATCCAGATACCTATCCTTCCATAATAAACTTCAGAATCATCCCAACCCTCTCGTTTCTAACCTTGCTTCCTCTGAGAGAGAGAGATACTTTATTTAAAGCAGTGATGACCTACTATATAGGGTTCCTCGAAAAACAGCATACTCGTCAATCCTTTGTTTTTTTAGGACATACCACTTAATTATACTTAATCACATATTTATATATATACAAATTCTTCTTCATATAACACAGCACAAACAATATCAATACTGTTACATACCAATACGCATATACAATATATTGTAATCTCTCTCTCTCTCTCTCTCTCTCTCTCTCTCTCTCTCTCTCTCTCTCTCTCTCTCTCTCTCTCTCTCTCTCTCTCTCTCTCTCTCTCTCTCTCTCTCTCTCTCTCTCTCTCTCTCTCTCTCTCTCTCTCTCTCTCTCTCTCTCCTCTCTCTCTCTCTCTCTCTCTCTCTCTCTCTCTCTCTCTCTCTCTCTCTCTCCTCTCTCTCTCTCTCTCTCTCTCTCTCTCTCTCTCTCTCTCTCTCTCTCTCTCTCTCTCTCTCTCTCTCTCTCTCTCTCTCTCTCTCTCTCTCTCTCTCTCTCTCTCTCTCTCTCTCTCTCTCTCTCTCTCTCTCTCTCTCTCTCTCTCTCTCTCTCTCTCTCACTCTCACTCTCACTCTCACTCTCACTCTCACTCTCACTCGCACTCGCACTCGCACTCGCACTCGCACTCGCACTCGCACTCGCACTCGCACCCGCACCCGCACCCGCACCCGCACCCGCACTCGCACTCGCACTCTCATTCTCACTCTCACTCTCACTCTCACTCTCACTCTCACATTCTCTCACTTTCGCCCTCTCCCACTCCCTCTCCCCTTTTACCTTGTTGATGTTTTCAATTATATCGTATGGTTTTAAGCACACACCATAGTTTTTTTAATAATTTTTTGTGGAAAGATAACGATCTATTTCTACCTCGAAAGCAACGTTCTCAAGTATTAGTTTTATATAGTGTATGAGTAATATAGATGAAATAACGTTTCATGTATGTATGTAATAAACTCATTAACTTTATTTAACTACTGAACTAACCTACTCACTAATCTTAACGATAATAAATGCAATACATTTTTCATCATATTTTAGGTGCTCCAAGAGAAAGAGAATATTCTGAATGCAGCATGCGTGCTACGAACCTTATTGTCTGTACATGGAGGGATGTGTTATTGGTAATAATTTTATAAATAAATAATTAATGTAAACAAAAAAATCTGGTGAGGGCAACACACAACATTCACTTACTGCTCAACTTTGAATTGAAATTATTTTCTGGTCATGTGGGACTATTATAAAATTTTTTAATTGCATTTTTAACCGAGCTAAAGCTAAAAGATTACAGCTAACAAATCTAAAATGCCATTAAAATAATAAAAGTCCTATTTATTATATCACCGCTTGATTATGGATTGTACGACTATTAGTTATTAAACTGTTATTTTACATTGCAAAGTTTACTAAAACGGAATTAAGAGATTTGCATTTTCTGTCATAGATCAGTCGAAAGTTGTCACACTAATTATAAGTTGATATTGTTGGAATATGACAAAGGAAAAATTCGTCAAATTATTCACTAATTTAATTTATTTTTTTTTTTTATTTGTTTATTTAGAAATATTACATTCTGTCACATCAAGGACATTTATAATAGTGTTCAGAGAAAGCACACTCACACTCTATTTACAATAAAAAAAAATAAAATAATACAGAAACTTAATAATAATAAATACAATAAATAAAATAAAAATAAATACAATAAAATAAAATAAATGTATATAAACAAAAGAACTAACCTAATCATACACACTCGGGCTTGAGTGGAGGATCTGGCCATTGCCAAAACTCCAATAGATGCTTATTTACAAAAGGTCTCGGGCCACTGCCGCTTCAACCTTCGAGGAGGATTGTAAGGATGGGTGGTGCTGGATAGAGATTGTGCAAGGGGATTTGGATGATAGGTAAGGTTCTGGTGAAATTTGGAGAATTTTTCTGGAATAAGGTCTAGGACAAATGGGATATTAAGGTCATGGTGTAGGATTTTGTTATTTACATAGAACGGAGCATCAACTATTGTTCGAAGGACTTTAGATTGAAAGGATTGAATACGTTTGATGTTAGAAGCTTTTGCTGTACCCCACAGTTCAAGTCCGTATGTCCATATAGGTTTCAGTATTGTCTTGTAGATAAGTAATTTGTTTTCAATAGAAAGTTTGGATTTTCTGTTTAGTAGTCTGTATAGCTGGCCGTATCGTCGGTTGAGTTCTTGTCTTTTGAGTCTAGTATGTGGGTTCCACGTCAGTCTTCGGTCTAAATGAAAGCCAAGATACCGGACTGTGTCTGAGTAAGGAAGCTGGATGGAATTAAAGTGTACTGGTGGACAGGAACTGCGTCGGAGTGTAAAGGTAATGTGTTGGCATTTAGATTCATTAACTTTAATGCGCCAGTTATTACACCAGTGCTCAATCAAGGTGAGGTGGTTTTGGAGAGTTAAGGATGCTATGTTGGGATCTGAGGCGGATGATAGAATAGCGGGGTCATCAGCAAAAGTTGCCAGGAAGGTATCGGGATGGACAGGGATATCGGCGGTAAAGAGGATGTAAAGGACGGGACCCAATACGCTACCTTGAGGAACACCTGCCTCAATTGGATAGCAATGCGAAAATTCAGTACCGCAACGAACTCGGAAGGTACGATCTGAGAGGTAGGAACGGAGAACAAGGTACAAGGACTGAGGAAGATAGTTTTTCAGCTTGGAAAGAAGCCCGGCGTGCCATACCCGGTCGAAAGCTTGAGCTATGTCCAGAAATGCACCCGAGCAATATTGCTTGCTTTCCAATGCTGCGGAAATATGATCAACCACTCGGAGTCCTTGTTGGACTGTAGAGTGTTGTGAACGAAATCCGAACTGATGGGAAGGAAGAGTTTGGGATTCTATAAAGGGTAGGATGCGTTTTAGGAGGATCTTTTCAAAGATTTTTGAGAGAATAGGAAGAAGGCTAATTGGTCTGTAGGACGTTGAGGTGTTGGGAGGTTTGCCTGGTTTCGGAAACAGGATAATAGTGGAATGTTTCCACAAAAGAGGAAAGTGGGTGGTTCGTAGGATGCTATTGTATATGTATGTAAGGAATATGACAGCTTTAGGAGGGAGTTGTCTAAGGATCTGAGAGGTAAGCAGGTCGTATCCAGGTGATTTACGGGTAGGTAGTTTTTGTAAAAGGAATTTGACCTCAGAAGGATTAACTGCTTTAGGCGGTAAGGAGAGTGGGATGGGTGAATTAAGGAATTCCTCTACTGCTGACGTGTGGGTGGGATTGGATTCTGGATGAGAGGTGAATGTAAGGGAAAGGTTTTTGGCGAATTCTTCGGCTCTATCTTCGTCAGATGCTGCCCAAGAGCCATCACCTCGACGGAGAGGATGTGATATGTGATGGGGTTTTAGGATATGTTTGGTGGTCTTCCATAGGGAATTGTCATGAGAAGTGAGAGAAGTGAGGTAGGAGTTAAAGGATTGGGATCTGAAGGTGGCCAATTCTATCTTTAGTTTTTTGCAAAAATAATTATAGGATTGGCGATCGGTGGGGTGTCTAGTACGTTGCCATAATAATCTGGCACGGCGTTTGGTATGGATTAGGTCTATGAGGTGTTGAGGTAACTTATTTTTCTTAGGAGTTCTTGAGGAGTGGTTTGGAAAGGAAGCAGTCCAGATAGCTTGTTGGATAGTGGTGGTAAAAAAGTGTACAGTATTGTCAAGGTCATCTGGGGTTTTCAGGGTCATTCTGAGGTCAATTTTATCGGTAAGGATTTGGTGAAAGAGTTTCCAGTTAACTGGGCCTCTGATGAAGGACGGTGGAGAAGACTTAGGAATAGGAGCTAGAGATAATTGGAGTAATAATGGACTATGATCTGAGGATAGTTCGCCAAGAGGGGTAAGGGAATGATTGAGGGGACCTAAGCCACTGTGGATGAAAAAATCAAGGATATCGGGATTGCGGTTAGGATCTGTGGGCCAGTAGGTAGGTGAGGTGGGTGGAAGGAGACTGAAACGTTGGGTATTGAGTGCAGACAGAAATGTTCTGCCACGAGAATTCGTGGTTCTTGAACCCCAAACTTGATGCTTGGCATTTAAGTCTGCACCCAGGATGAAATGATGACCTAAGGAGTTGAGGAGAGAACTGAACTGGACTTTGGATATGGATCTGTTAGGAGGGCAATATGCTGATGCAAGGGTGACTGGAAAGGAGAAGGCTTTGATTACAATAGCGGTTGACTGTAGGAAATCTTGAGTAGGTAATGGGAGTAAGTGATGGGAGAGGGATTGGTGTACGATGACAGCAGTGCCGGCATGTGCTCTGCCATCAGGGTGGTCAGTACGGTATGTTAAATACTGTGGGATTTTTAAATGCTGTTTTATGGTCAGTCGAGTTTCTGTAATTAGGGCTACGTCAATGTTCTTGTCTTGTAGTAAAGCTGTTAGTTCGTCAACGTGATTTCTAACACCATTCGCATTCCAAAGGAGAATGGACATGGGTTTTGGTATGTGGGTCATTAAGGATTTTTCAAAGGAGGGATGAGGTGAGATACGAGATTTGTAAGGAGTGATATGAGTGGAGTGACTAGGGATTTGAAATCGGTTAGGAAAGATGCTAACAAACTAGTGAGATCTGTTGCATTTGAAGGAGGAGGAATATGAGGAATTTGAGGTTGTTGATGATTATGTGTGTTAGGATGAACAGAATATTGAGATTGGGGCTGAGGTAGTTGCTGCGGCAGGGCTTTACATGTATTATTAGGGTTCTTACCTCCAAGTAGCTCGGAGTATGATAAATTATTGTTAACAATTCTAGAAGGTTCTCTTCTTGGTCTGGTTCTCTCATCTTGAATCCGGTTCTTCTGGTATCTGGATTTGAGGCTCTTATAGGTTTGGCAGCCTTTGTAGTTGGCCGGGTGTCCCTCCTGGCATAGTGCACACACTGCAGGATCTTGTGTTGGTTTGGTGCACTCCACAGATTTGTGCTGTTCACCGCATTTCACGCAACGTGGCAGATGGTGACAATAAGTTTTCGTGTGGCCATACGCCTGGCAATTGTGGCACTGCACAATTTCCTTCTTGGGGTATGGCTTCTCTATCTTCACGATAGTGTAGTACAATCTCTTGATATCATATATTTTTTCAATGCCAGGTGATGGCTCTAGATCCACGAAAAATAAAGGTAGTGGAACTTTATTACTCACTCCTGGCTGCTCCTTATTCTCCTTCAGAACGTTGGTTACCTGACGCACTTTGAAACCAAGCGTCGCTAGTTCTTCTTTTATCACTTCAGTTGGGGTTGAGGAGTGTAAATTTCTAACCACCACTCGTAGCGATCTATCCTGTTTCAGCTGGTACGTGTGGAAATTTGCATTCGTTTCTGACAGGTACTTCACAATTTTTCGGTAGGCTTCTGCAGTATCAGGTGTTATTTTTGTGTCGTTAGTCCTGTTGAGGCAAGAATAACTGCCGGAGCAGATTTCGTTTAGCTGTGTACACAGTAGTTGAAAATTTTTGATGTTTTTAACAAATATCGGAGGAGGCCTTGGTTCCCTGGGTACTGCTGCTGACTCCATTACTTCTCTGTCATTATGAAGCACTTGGAACGGGTTTGGAGTGAAGAAAGGAGATTCTTCAACCATTTCTTGCGAAGAAGTACCTGGTTGAGGCTGAGGTTCTGTATCTGAAGTTTTCACTGTGGTTATTGGAGCTATTTCTCGCAGGCAGCAACGAGTTCTTTGTTTCACTGGTGAATCACGAGGGGTACTAACTCCGTCTGACCGAGTCCTCTTAGTGGGCACCTTACTGGACATCACTGGCTGACGATGCCGCATATCATAAGAGAAGAAAAAAAAATTAAAAAAAAAAAAAAAAAAAATATTAAAAAAAAGTATGTAGCAAACTGTAAATAACAACTGCTCTGGTGTACAGTTCAACTATATTCAGTAAATAATCAAAGAGATTCCGCTGAAAAAATAGGCAACAACTGAGAGAAGATTTCAGAACACGTCCTTCGCATCAGCTGATCCACTGCCTTCTCATTTAATTTATTAAAAAAAATTCATTTAATTCCTTTAAAAACAAGTGATTTAGGTTAAATAATGTTAGTTTTTAGAAATTATTATTTGTAATTTTTTTTTTGTC